CTTTAAAATTGATCGTCCACCAGGGAAGAGTCAAGACTTTACATACTTAACGAGATCTAAGGCCGAGTTCGTCATGGAAGCTTTTCAGAAGAAGCTGAATGACATCGAAGGAAAGATAACTGGATTTGATGAAAAGCTGGTTGGGTTTGATGAAATGAAAGATCAGCTGAACATGATAGTAAAAATGCTGTCGGCAAAAGGAAAGGAAATAGTATCCAATGATGAAGAAGTACATTCTGAAGATGATGTTCCTCCAAAAGGGGAAGATTCGGGCCCCAAAGTCATCATCGTGAATGACAAAAACAATACGGGATCGCCTGAACACGACCAAGAGAGAGAGAAAATAGAAGGCGTTGAAAATGACATACTATTGAAAGAAAAATGGGAATACCTGGACGAAAGAGTGAGAGCCATCGAAGGAGTAGAATCATATGGTTCTACTGATGCCACGCAATTATGCCTCGTACCAGACGTGATAATTCCCCCAAAATTCAAAATCCCAGAATTTGAAAAATATGACGGTACCACGTGCCCTAGAAACCACCTAATCATGTATTGTAATAAAATGGCCAACCACGTCCGAGACGACAAGCTTATGATACATTGTTTTCAAAACAGCCTAACTGGGCCAGCCGCAAGGTGGTACATGCAGCTCGAAAGGTCAAAAGTCAAAAGATGGCAAGATCTTGCTGATGCATTCATGAAACACTATAAGCATAATCAAGATTTGGCCCCAGATAGGGAAGATCTACGCGCCATGGAAAAGAAAGAGGAGGAGTCCTTCCGAGAGTATGCCCAAAGGTGGCGAGGAAGAGCTGCAGATGTTCAGCCCCCTTTATCTGAGAAAGAAATGATCTCTACTTTCTTTGAAACCCTAAAGCCTCCATATTACAATAACATGGTCGGAATCACTACAACAAATTTTGCTGATATGTTAGTAATTGGTGAACGAATTGAGAAGGGAATCAAACTAGGGAAAATGGAAAGCCCAGAAGCTTCACGGAAGGCGAGCCACATCAAAAAGAAGGAAGCGGAGGTCAATTCAGCCCAGGGAGAGTCTTCAAAAATAGGGAGATGGAACAGTCGACCTCAACCCAACCAAATTCGTCCATACATAAATAATGCTACAGTTGTTACTCAACGCCCGAATTATGCTACTCAGCCACTAAACCAGAATCGACCACAAGCACCACCCCAAGCAAACAACAGAGATCAGAACGTCACTCGAATGTATGGAAAAACTTTTCAAATCGATCCTATTCCCATCACATATACTGAACTCTTTCCTCAGTTAATCCAAAGTCATCTAATTGCCCCCATACCATCTGAGCCCCTGCAACCACCTTACCCTAATTGGTATAAGCCGGATCAACATTGTGCCTACCATTCGGGGGTCCCAGGGCATTCAACTGAAGATTGCAGAATACTGAAAGTTAAGGTACAACAGTTGATAAAAGTTGGTTGGCTAAAATTCGAAGAACAGCCCAACAGACCGAATGTTAACAATAATCCATTGCCTAATCATGGGGGGCAGGGAGTAAATGGCATCGAAGAATTTGAACGATACAAAGACAGGGTAAGTGTGGAAGAAATAAAGACACCTTTGGAGTGCATCTATAAAATACTATCCCACAACAATTACCTGGAAGACCCTGATGAAGAGGTACCCGTCACAAATCTGGAAGATACATGTCTTTATCATGCGGGAGTTAAGGGGCATTCTATCCAGCATTGTGATCCATTCAAAATAAAGTTACAACAACTCATGGATGCAAAAGTGATACTAATTCGAACTAAAGGCAAAGTCATGGGGGATGTAAATATGATGTCCTCGCTAACTGACGAACCCCAAAAGCAGGAAAGGTTCATTTGCTACCAAGCCCGACAGGATGAGCCTAGCCCTCCATCCTCAAAAGTGGTCCCTCTGGTCATCAAAACCCCAAAGCCATTCAAGTATGAAAATCCAAAGGCAGTGCCATGGATGTACAACTGTCAGGCAGATCAGAAAACCTTTACTCGCCAAAGTGAAGTGACGAACATAACCGGGATAGGCGGTATGACTAGAACAGGCAGGTATTATACCCCGGATGACGTTGAAAAGCGTAGAATTAAGGAATTGGCAAAAAGGCAAGAAATAAAGCAGGGAAAGCAAAAACTCCCCGAGTTCACGAACCCACAGCTCAATGAGGAAGAGGAGAGGGCACCGATCACGGAAGGTCCAAAAGAGTACCAAAAACAAGTTTCTGATGAGGATGCATGTGAATTCCTAAAACTGATTAAGCAAAGTGAGTTCAAGGTGGTAGAGCAGTTGAACCGCACGCCTGCACGAATTTCTCTTCTATCCCTAATCCTCACTTCTGAACCTCATCGTCAAGCTCTAATGAAAGTACTAAATCAAGCTCACGTATGCCATAATGTATCAGTAGAAAAGGTAGACAATATCGTCGGAGCTGTCCTGACTAGCGGAAAGATCTCGTTTGACGAAGATGAAATCCCCACCGAGGGAACAGGTCACACCAAAGCTCTGCACATTTCGCTAAAATGCAAAGGCCACATGATAGCTCGTGCGCTTATCGATAACGGGTCAGCTCTAAATGTAATACCCAAGTCAACCCTCAATAAACTCCCGGTGGATGAATCATACATCAAGCCGAGCTTTGTAGTAGTTCGGGCATTCGATGGTACTAAACGCAAGGTAATCGGCGAAGTCGAGCTTCCAATCCAGATAGGACCAAGCATCTTCAACATCTCGTTCCAGGTGATGGACATTACTCCCACATACAGCCTCCTACTGGGTCGACCATGGATACATTCGGCAGGAGCAGTGCCATCATCGCTCCACCAGAAAGTTAAATTCATCATTGACAAGAAGTTAGTGGAGGTCTACGGGGAAGAAGATATAATGATAACGAAAGCACCAGATGCACCATATATCGAAGCTACAGAGGAAGCTCTTGAAAGTGCATTTCAGTCACTAGAAATTGAAGACGTCGCATACGTCAACAAGGAAAATAAGACGCGAAACCCAAAACCATCTGTAGCCTCCATCATGGCTGCCAAACAATTGATTAAGGGAATTGACAAGTCAATGTGGAACACCCTAATCAGGCCGCCAATGAACATCAAGGAAAATAAAAATCGTTGCGGTTTGGGGTACTCGCCAAGTATGTTGGATATGAAAAGGATCCAAGAGGAGAAACGAAACAAGAGGTTGGCTCGCTTAAAAGGGGACAATTTTGAACACGAGAAGATCAAGATACCCCACATAAGTCAAACCTTCATAAGTGGAGGAACGATCAATAGCAAGACTGTCGATGTCGTCGAGGCAAACATAGACCTAGAGGACCATATGATGTTAACTGTTTTCAGTGATTTGTCGATCAACATGGCTGGGGGGAATAACACTGAATCGTTCGAGTTTGTCCACCTGATGCGTCCAGATGAAGAGCTGTGCAATTGGAAGTTTGAAGACATGCCTATACCAGACGCAATGTAATGTCGTGGGCACGAGAAATCGAGAGTATCGTATAATAATGAATAAAATGTAGTCGAAAAGACTAGTTAAGCTTTTGTTAAGACTGTAGTGGGAAATAAAGCGCACTTATAGCACCTTCCTTTGTTTTCAAATAAACATATGCATTTGAATTCCAATCGTTCATGACATGGATTTCTATCCCTTCCTTATTCCACGTTATTTTCCTTTCCTTTTTGCTTTTATATCTTTTGCTTCAGGATATGTGAGCAATGGGAGGATACTCGAGATCTTCATGATTTGACAATCAACTTTGACTTACCTATTAATCAAATGGAGTCGGATGAGGAAGAAGAGGAATCTTCAGACTGGGATTGGGTGCTTGAGCGGGAAGAGCCAGCATTACAACCGTATGGTGAAGCAATCAGAGTGGTAAACATAGGGACGGAAGAAGATCAGAAGGAAGTGAAAATTGGGGAAAGTTTAAGTGAAGACGCACAAGAAAGGCTTGTAGACCTGCTAAAGGAATATCAAGACGTGTTTGCTTGGTCTTACAAAGACATGCCCGGTTTAGACGAAAAAATAGTAATGCATCACTTGCCTTTGAGACAAGATAGCAAACCCATCAAGCAGAAATTGAGAAGAATGAAAGCAGAATGGTTGTTGAAGGTCAAGGAAGAAGTTCAAAAACAATACAATGCTGGTTTCTTACGAGTGGCCATATATCCTGAATGGGTCTCAAATATTGTCCCAGTCCCTAAAAAGAATGGAAAGATCCGAGTGTGCGTAGATTATAGGGACCTAAATCGTGCGAGCCCAAAAGATGATTTCCCATTACCTCATATTGATGTTCTTATCGACAATACGGCTGGTCATCACACATTCTCCTTCATGGACGGTTTTTCAGGATACAACCAAATCAAAATGTGCCCAGAGGACATGGAAAAAACGACTTTCATCACATTATGGGGAACGTTTTGTTACATTGTAATGCCTTTCGGGCTGAAGAACGCAGGAGCTACTTACCAAAGGGCAATGGTCACGTTGTTTCATGACATGATGCATAAAGAAATAGAAGTCTATGTGGATGACATGATAGCCAAATCTAGACCAGGAGAAGATCACGTGGAAATCCTATGAAAGCTTTTCAAAAGATTGCGTAAATATCAATTACGATTGAATCCCGAAAAATGTACTTTTGGGGTCACATCGGGAAAGTTGCTAGGGTTTCTAGTAAGTCAGAAAGGGATAGAAGTCGATCCAGACAAAGTCAAAGCAATAATTGAAATGCCGCCACCCAAGACCCAGAAAGAAGTAAGAGGATTCCTCGGACGCTTGAACTATATCAGTAGATTCATTTCACAATTGACCTCCACATGTGAACCCCTTTTCAAACTACTCAAGAAAAACCAACCATGTGAGTGGGACGAAGATTGCCAAAATGCGTTTAGCAAAATTAAAGAATACCTTCTAAATCCACCGGTCCTAGCACCCCCTACACCAAAGAAACCCCTAACACTGTACTTATCTGTATTCGAAAATTCTATGGGGGCAATGCTGGCACAACAAGAACAAGGAAAGAAAGAACATGCGATCTACTACATCAGTAAAAAGTTCAATGACTGTGAACGTAGGTATACGGCCTTAGAAAAGACGTGTGGTGCCCTAGCTTGGGCAGCAAAAAGGTTAAGGCAATATATGTTGTATCACACAACTCATTTGGTATCCCAAATGGACCCCATCAAATACGTATTCGAAAAACCCGCACTGACTGGACGCCTCGCCAGATGGCAAGTCCTCTTAGCAGAATACGACATTGTTTATGTGGCAAGAAAAGCAATTAAAGGGAGCGTCGTTGCTGACCATTTGGCAGAGCATGCTATTATGGATCCCGAATCCATGATTATGGATTTCCCAGATGAAAATATAATGACAACCGAGGAGGAAAAAGAAAACCTACCACATGGAGGTTGGATCATGAAGTTTGACGGAGCTTCTAATGCTATAGGACAAGGAGTGGGGGCCGTCTTTATGTCCCCGGAAGGTGAGGTACTACCAATTACAGCTAAACTCTGCTTTGCATGCACAAACAATGTGGCAGAATACGAAGCATGTATCTTCGGCATACGAGCAGCCTTGGGAATGGGGATAAAAAGGTTGAAGGTGTATGGGGATTCTGCACTAGTAATCTTCCAAATAAGAGGTGAATGGGAGACTCGAGACTCAAAGCTCATCCCATACCAAAAGCTCATCAAAGAAATGATATTGCAATTTGAGGAAGTAACGTTTGAACATGTATCACGGGTGGAAAACCAAGTCGCAGATGCATTAGCTACCCTCGCATCGATGTACAAAATGGAAGAAATGGGTGAAATACCATGTATTAAAATCGAGAAACGAGATGCTCCCGCATACCTTATGAATATTGAAAGGGAACCAGATGACAAACCATGGTATTATGACATCCTAATCTACATCAAAGAAAAAGAATACCCACCAGGGGCATCCGGAAACGACAAAAGGACTATTCGCAGATTGGCCTATGGGTTCTATTTGAGCGGATCGACCTTGTACAAAAGAAACCACGACTCAACGCTGTTAAGATGTGTAGATGCAAAGGAGGCCTCAAGGATAATTGAAGAAATACATGAAGGTATATGTGGTACACATGCAAGTGGTCACGTCATGGCTCGGAAAATATTAAGGATGGGATATTACTGGACTAAAATGGAGGGAGACTGCGTCAACTATGTTCGGAAATGCCACAAGTGCCAAGTGTATGCGGATGAAATTCATACTCCCCATGTCCCTCTCCATGTCATGTCATCGCCTTGGCCTTTTGCCGTCTGGGGAATAGACGTTATCGGATTAATCGAACCCAAAGCATCAAATGGTCATCGATTCATCTTAGTAGCAATAGATTACTTCACCAAATGGGTAGAGGCGGCCTCATACGCGAACATAACCAGAAGTGTGGTGGTAAAATTTATTAAGAAAGAAATCATCTGTCGTTATGGATTGCCAGAGAGGTTGATCACCGACAATGCGAAAAACTTAAACAACAAAATGATGGATGAACTCTGCGAGCAGTTCAAGATCAAACACCATAATTCTGTACCATATCGTCCCAAGATGAATGGTGCTGTCGAAGCTGCAAACAAGAACATTAAGAAAATCATCCAGAAGATGGTGATCACGTATAAGGATTGGCATGAAATGCTACCATTTGCGCTGCACGGGTATAGAACAACAGTGAGGACGTCAACGGGTGCAACACCTTTCTCTCTGGTCTATGGGATGGAAGCAGTAATGCCTATTGAAGTAGAGATACCATCCTTAAGGGTATTAAAAGAAGCAGAACTCGAAGATGCCGAATGGGTCAATGCCAGGTATGACCAATTAAACCTGATTGAGGAAAAAAGGCTAGGAGCCATCCATCATGGTCATCTCTATCAAAGACGATTGATCAGAGCATTTGAGGAAAAAGTAAAGCCAAGACAATTTCGTGAAGGAGAGCTGGTCTTGAAGAAAATTATGCTCCGACAAGGGGATCCAAGAGGGAAATGGACCCCTAACTATGAAGGTCCCTATGTGGTAAAAAGAGCCTTCTCAGGCGGAGCACTCATATTAACAAACATGGACGGAGACGAGTTACCATATCCGGTCAACACCGACTCAGTGAAGAAATACTATGCATAAGGATGAGGCAATGCTCGGTCGACTCCATGAAAATAATGGGACGAGTGCAGGGTGGACTGTCAAATCATGAATCTCTTTGATGTATCTCGTAGTTGCTATGTATCTTTCTTTTATACCCCAGAAATAAAATTCCGCTAGAATTTGCCTCAATCTTGCACGTGTTCTCCTTTACTTACCATTCCATCCTACTTGCAACTGATTGTCGCCTCTTATACCATCCAATCACAAATATGATCTTATGATAAACCCCTAGTGGCCATACAGTCGCGTAAACCAACTACAGTCTTAGCAAAAAGCAGAAGCAATTCACGACTAGCACACAATCGAAGGGAACAATAACAATTTCAAAACAATTTAACCAAAATATCCATAACTAAAGTGGATTCGTTTTGTTATTTCCACTCCTCCCTTGGCCTAACCCCGTACGCTCATAGTTCACAAATGAAGAGAAAAATCCAATAATCTCTACAGTTTTGAGAAGCCAACCCGGGATTCCCCCCGCAGTTATGAATGACATGGGCATGCAAAGGAAATTTATTCGAGACCACTTGAAAGAAATCGGTGGGGTCACAAATATTCAGCAGACCCGATAGAAGATTGGATACGACATTCTCATGTGGAACCTTTTTCGGGACTCAAAAGGAGGTTCAGCAACTTTACAAGGCGAACATCGAAATGAAGGTTGACTCGTTCACTAACAACTGAAAATTAAAGGCGGCAACGCTATCAGTACACTTGCCATTCTGCTTCGAACAGGGCCTAGGATCGATTAAGTTGAGAGCAATGACATATCTCTCGAAGGGCGACCAATTTGTAGAAATTAGAAGAAATATAATAAAAGAAACTAATTCGCCTTTACGTTTGCGGCAAACATTCATCATACAACATATTGTGTCACGTACTCATAAAGGTTGTCACAAGGTGGAACACCAGTCGAGTAAACGTCCACATAAGGGAATCCTCCCTCTCCATTTACGCATTTTCATCATGACATTACATCATGTCATATCACGCTACATTTTTCACATCTATCTAGCAATATGATACAAAAGCAATACATATCAATGTTAAGCCTATCGGATACTTACGAAGTCCTTTAGGCCGTGTGACTACTCGTTATCGATATTTGTACCAAACCAGCTAGTTGACTATCAAAGCTATTATATGTCACAATGTGAATAAACCAGTACTCTATATCGCTATACCACAAAGGGAAACCAAAATTTAATACCTCATGGGAGCCGAGGAGCACCCCTACCAAATCAATACCTCACGGGAGCTGAGGAGCGCCCCTACTATTTAATACCTCACGGGAGCTGAGGAGCACCCCTACCAAATCAATACCTCACGGGAGCTGAGGAGCATCCCTATCAAACTAATACCTCACAGGAGCTGGCGAGCCCCTCTATCAGTCAACAACGCACGGGAGCTGACGAGCGCCCCTACTATTTAATACCTCACGAGAGCTTAGGAGCGCCCCTATTATTTAATACCTCACGAGAGCTGAGAAGCACCCCTACTAAATCGATACCTCACGGGAGCTGAGGAGCACCCCAACCAATCAAAACCTCACAGGAGCTGGCGAGCCCCTCTATCATTCAATAACGCATAAGAGATAACGAGCGCCCCTACCAGTAAATATCTGACTGGAGCTGGCAAGCTTTAAATAAATATAGCAGAAGGTGATTGACGGGCATAAGAAGAAACCGTCGACGCTGTCGAGCATCAAGAAATACAATAAAGTGAATATTAGAAAATTACTCGCGTTGGCGAACGCTATATAAAAACGTAAATTTTCCACTGGCGACGAAGACTATCAAAGAAACAGAAGTCCTCGCTGTCGGAAATCTTATACAAACACACTAAATCATTCGCTATCCTAACATCATCCTCAAAACATATCCTATTTCAAGGACCCTAACACAACCATCATGATACTTTTAGAAAATGTGGTGTCCTTATGAGCACTTTGTATAACTCTTTATACAAAGAGATATACAAAGGGGGGCAACTGTAGACACCACATTTTGTCCGGAGCAACCATCCTACTTAGAACTCGGAAGAATATCTTTTTTAAAATGCAAAAAGAAAACCCAAGCGAAAGTTTAGATAAGGTTGGTTGAGATTAGCAGTAGCTAATGGCTACCAAATTCGCTTTATTTAGAATAGCAATAGTATGCCGTCACGACTTATACCGGTATTATTGTTAACGATTGGTGATATAGGTCTGAAATTGGTTGAATGGGGTATTGGTCACGATTCTTAACTAAGAATTATTTACTTAGAAGTTGGGATATTGGTCACAATTGTAGTTAACGAATTGGTTTGAAATAATCAATTGAATGATTGAGTAATACATACAATGATCATCTAATTCTAAAGGCAAGGACATAAATAAACAAATGTGTAATTACAAATTACAATCTGTGACATTTAAGATACACCTTGTAATTATACATTTTATAAAAATAAAAAAATAAAAAAATTCTGCTTTTGGTGGCACCAATCAGAATTAGAGGCCTAGCCTTTTGAGGCTATTTAGGCCTCCTTAGGTCATCATTTTGGGCCAGACCAGAGACCTGCAAAGAAAAAAAGAAGTGTTAGAAGGGCATCCCAAAACAAAAACCCACAATCCAGGTCCATATCTCAGCCCAATTAACTCTGGTCGAGCCAGTCAACTCGGGTCGACCGGGTTAGCTCTGGCCGACCCGGTCAACCAAACCCATCATCCTTATCTTATCTACAAGAACAGCAGAACCGCCGAACAGCAGAGTAGTAGAGTAGTAGGGTAGCAGAAATTACTGCCATCTCAAAAAGAGGAATTCGGCCACCTCCTCCAAAGAACCAACACCAAATTGCCAACACAAAAGTTGGTTCAGACAACCACCTCAAGAGCAAAGGAGGAGCAGCCAGCACACAATAATGAACAGTAAAAAGTGATCATATATAAGGGGGTTTTCTTACCCCAAACAAGAGGACAGAAGGGAAGAACCAACAACAAAAACACACAAAAAGGGAGACAAAGAGCATTAAAGAGCACTAAGCACCAAAAAGACAGAAGCACTAAGGATCCAAAAAGGGCAGGGAGTCAGAAACAGCAACAAGCTATCACCATCAAAACTCCACCAAATCACAAACACAGGTCGGTTTTTTTTTTTCCTTCTACACCCCATCAATCATACAAGCGTGTAGTCATCCATACATCCATGTAGGAAAATTCATATAGCATGTTTGTAAATGATGATGCTTCTAAATTCATAATCCATAGTTAGGCTGCCTAAATTTGTACGCGAAGTGGATATTACGAAATTCTGATCTTCGTGACATGTATGCCTCTTTATGCCATTCATTTCTTTCGTTATATGACAATTTACTTTTCATCACCTAAATACAATGAATCAGTTTGAGTTGCTCTCAGTTTTTCTAGCAAGCGTAATTCTTGTTAAGCTGCTTGCTAAACCTAGCACTACTATCAGCCAGGCTAGTTCATTTACTCTTTCAACATAGCAATAATCAAGCGATCCATTCAAAACATAAAAAATTCAAATCAGACCTTTGAGAGAGTATTTTAAAATACCTCATTTTGTGTTTAAGGGTACCCCTTTTCTTTAGCCAATTACCAGATTTGATAATCACGAAGTTCTCATTTGATTATTATTTTGTATGCTAAATACAATAAAACACTTTCATTAAAAATTCCATTTGTTACTAATCGATATTAGCCTTTTAATCAAATTGTTTAACCAATTGATAGTCATAAGCAGTAGCTATGATTGTCGTATTACCTTTAGGACCTTTATAGATTTTCAAATTTTAATAAAGCAAATTCTCCACCATATCCAAAACCAAACATTAAGGCTAAACAAACCTAGGAGGAGTTCTAACAAAATTTACTTTCACAACACCAGAGAGTTTTATAAACAATCATAATGATAACTAAACCACCCATTTTAGGTTTAGAAGAGGTATCACCTAGTTTCTTTCAAACTGAATAGATCTGCAAAAATCAAGGAAATCGAGAGTTAGAACCCCAAAAAATGATAATAGATAAAAAACGAGAATGGTAAAAAAAATAATAAAACAAATAACCTACCCACAACCAAATCCTCGCCGTCGGCTCTGGTGCAGGCCGCGCCGCCGGCGACCGCCGCCCTTCCCTTCCTTCCCTCGGCAGATATCCGAAACCAAAAGAAAAACAAAAAAAACAAAGGAAAGCCAAACAAGTCAAAATCCCAAATAAAATCACCTAAATCGAACGAAAATGGAGATGCATGTAGAAAAGGGCTTACCATAGGGTAAAACCTCCTCGTCACCTCTGTTCCAACTAGAAATGATAGATCGAGATTATTAGAAGGCAAATCGAGGCCCCCTCCTCGGTTTTGGATCGATCTCCGAAAGAAAAACAAGAAAAAGGTTAGAATCTCGCTCGAAAACCCAGAAATAAAAAAAAACAAACTTGCATGCAATGATCTTACCTAGATCGAAGGTCTCCCGCCCGTTTTTTAGCGACCTTCGTCATATCGAGGGACGAGAGGGGAGAGCGCCGGCGGCCGCCTTGAGCGAGGCTAGGGTTTGGTTTTCTTTTCTCTGAGCAAGAGAGAGAGACGAGGATTGAGGGAAGAGAGGGATGAGGGCGGCGGCTAGGTTTCTCTAGAGAAGATGAGAACGAGAGGGAGAGAGGCGAGGGTTAGAGAGGGAGGCGGCTAGGTTTTGGTCTGATTCTGGAAGAGGAAGAGAGAAGTGGAAGGATAGAGAGACGAGAGAGAGGCGGCCGATTTTGGTTAATAGGTTAGGGTTTTTTTTTAGAGACTATATATACCCCATCGTTTAAAATGACTAAAATGCCCCTAGGGTTTTCAGCTTATTACGCGGCCCTGCCACCGCGTTTTCGTGAAACTACGAAATTGACCCTCCCCTTTCTCTGAAACCAAAAAGCGACGAAACAAAAATGAGGCTGGCGGACTTCGAACCCGCGTCCCCAACAACAACATCACTATGCTTAGGAGCATAACCAGTTGGGCTGCTGGCCCATCATCCGTCAATTTAACCTTTCCGCTTAATTTTATTCCTTCAAAATCCTTAATACGAAATGTAGAATTGCGGATTAAGTTTATCTCGTTTTTTTTCAATACGTCACAATACTTCCTAATAACTAAAATACTTGCATCTATCGTCATAACCTCATGTTAATCTAAATGCATTTTTATTATTAACAAAATTATAATACGAAAATCATGATCAGTGGAACGTGATTACAATTAAATTATCAAAGTTCTAACGAACTACGTGGACTTTGATCCCGTCTAACGGGTACGTAGGCAACCGATAAGGTTCGAGTCCAACTAATCAACTAA